GCTGAAAGCCTTCTTCACTGGCCTGTCTACCTGTGACTCCACTTTCAGGGAGCTATCAACCTGTACCACAAGGTCACCTTGTTCTATAACACTCCCCAGGGCCCTGCCATTGACTGTGTAAGTCCTGCCTTGATTTGATCTAAGAAATTGAAACACTTTGTAATTATTTAAATTAAACTCCATCTTCCATTCCTCAGCCCAGTGGCTCAATTGATCAAGATCTCACTGTATTCCCAGATAACCTTCTTCACCGTCCACTATACCACCAATCTTGGTGTCATCCGCAAACATACTAACCATGGCTCCTAAATTCTCATTGGAATCATTTACATAAATGATGAATAACAGCGGACCCAGCACCAATCCCTGTAAGACAATGCTGGTCATGGGCCTCCAACCCTCTACCACCTCCCACTGTCTTCTACCTTCAGGTTCACTTTGTATCCAATTGGCTAGCTCTCCCTGAATCCCCTGAGATTCACCCTTACTCAACAACCCACCATGTGGTATTTTGCTAAAGTCTACGTAAACAACATTTACTGCACTGCCCTCATTTACTTTCTTGGTCACCCCTTCAAAAAACTCAATCAAATTTGTGAGACATGATTTCCAATGCATAAAGCCATGCTGACTATTCTAAATTAGTCATTGCCTATACAAATGCCTGTAGATCCTGTTTCTCAGAATTCCCTCTCACAACTTACCCACCACAGACATCAGACTCAGCAGTCTGTAGCTCCCAACTATTTCCTGCAGCTTTTCCTTGAAAAGGAAAAGAGTGTCTAAGTGTAGATTTCTTACACAAGTCTAGTGTTCTCACAGAGCTGTAGTAAGGGACAAATATGTAGGTAAGAGTTTAAAGTAAGGATTGAAAGGGCACTTGCTTGCTGCTGGAGAGACAGGCAGTCAATTGGAAGATAGTTCCCAAAGGAACAAGCCATAGGGATGTTCCAGGTGGGAAACAAACTAGTCTTGCAGATATTAGTGACACGGGGTCAGGGCTTGGCACGGTGAGTAACTGCATGTTTATTTTCGATAAAGGTTACAATGGACCCTAGCCCCCAGTGTGATAGTGTAGGAGCCGTATACCACTGATAGTAAACTGTGTGGTGTTGTTCGGCTTTCTGTTCGTGCCAGATGTGGATAGGAATTAATACAGTTTCGGGGTTGCGTCAGACTGTTAGTGTTGGGGGAAAAAGAATTAGTTTCCTCCCATTGTATTTGGAGGGAGGTCAAACTCCTGAGTGAACCTTGGAGCCCCTGACCTTGGATATACAGCGGTGTTTTGCTGGAATAAAATTCTGGAATAACGTGCTGCTTTACTTCGCTGTGCCCGAATCTCTATCTGCCTTTGTAGGGGTCACCCTGACAGTTTGGCGAGCTGGCCAGAAGGTTCCGCCTGACGGAGCTCCATCCCACTTGGGCCCACTGTCCGGGTGAGTCCCTGTATCTCTAACCCCCAGTAGGTGAGAGTGGTCCCCGGTCCTGACCCTCGGGAAGTCAGAACCTTGGGTTTTTGAGCGAACCTTGAGAGTGCGGAGAAAGTAAAGGGACTGCGCGCTGAGCTCAGTTTCAATGCAGAGGGACAGGGTCACAGCCAACTCTCAGAAAGTCTGAGATAACAAGGTGTAGAGCTGGATGAACACAGCAGGCCAAGCAGCATCAGAGAAGAACACAGCAGGCCAAGCAGCATCAGAGAAGCAGGAAGCAGCATCAGAGAAGAACACAGCAGGCCAAGCAGCATCAGAGAAGCAGGAAGGCTCATCCAGCTCTACACCTTGTTATCTCAGATTCTCCAGCATCTGCAGTTCCTACTATCTCAGAAAGTCTGCCCGGAGAGGACACAGAGGGGCCTAAAGGGACTGGGTTCGTGAAGGGAGGAGGATTTCCCCCCAACTCGGGCTAGCGGTCCGGGGTCGAGAGGGACAGGAGGTTATTGAGGGAGGATAAGGACTCCCGACCCGGAGATGTTCTGGGGAAATACTCCGGGGATTCCTAAAGGGGTGGGAGCTGAGAAAACATGATCTGTACTAAAACCAGAGCAAACCAGATGATTTTCTGTATGCCTGAGTCCATAACTGTTGGTGTGTCGGTCAGTATTTTAGTATTTTGGTTGTTTAGTGCCTGTTTGCTTTGGGTCCAAACAAACAAACCCGGAGGCGACTGTATCCAACACAGATCCCAGACTGAGCCTGACAGGGGTGGGGATAGGGGAGCGTGCACATGACGGCCGGGAGAAGTGGGTGTAGGGACCACCAAAATTCGATTAAAATATGACAAAGGAGCAAGGAGCCCGTGGCAAAGGAAATCCGTGATAATTGGTGGTGGGGGAGGAAGGGGGTCTTGGTGTCCAAGGGGTCTAATTTAGAAACAGCCTTTAAAGACAATAAGAAGTGAATTAATAAAACGGTTGGGAAAAAGGCTGGGACGGACGAGGGACAGAGAGAGAGATCACAAAGACAAGGGACAGACCGAAACGTCAGCCTTCCTGCTCCTCTGATGCTGCTTGGCCTGCTGTGTTCATCCAGCTCTACACCTTGTTATCTTAGGACAGAAAGGACTGATTTTTGTAGCAGCAATTTATAAACAGATAGTTGGGGGGGGGCTCAGGGCGACATACTAATGAGGTGCCGATGTTGGGGACTGACACCTCGCCAGAGCCCTCGCCGTATAATGAGCCAGGAGGCGCCTTATTCCACCTCAAGCACCAAAACCACCTGCCCCAAAGACTCGGCTGGGACATGGACACTGAGCGGGCGAACTCTCACCATCACATTGACAATGCCCGCGGACCAGGAAAAACCAGTTTACCCCTAGAAACGAGAAGAGATTAGGGACCCCCACCCCAGACTAATAGAATGACATATCGAGTTACACCTTCCCCCCCGCCCCCCCCCCCCCCCGAATCCCGGGGAGAAACAGCTATTGCTTGAGGCGCTGCCAAAATCCCCGAAGATCGACAAGAAACACCGAATTCTGGGCGAAATTGCAAGAGCTGACGCATGGACACAATTTCACTCCAGCGCAAGAGAAGTGCGAGGTAGGAAAAGGGCGAGGGTTCAGGAAAGAGGAAACCAGTAGTAACGCAGAAGCAGCCACAGTTTGGGAGAGTCTGGGGAAGTGGAAGGGAAGGGCTGTGGAAAAACCTGCTGGGGTCCACATCGCTCCATTCCGCACGGTGTGTATAACAGAAACCAGCGCAACAAGCTGATACAGCTACAGTGTTTATGAGAAAGAAAGAGAGAGAGAGAGCGAGACGGCTCTCTGCTCTCGTTCACCGAATGTTGGAGAGGTGTTAACTATGTGTAGTCTGGTTTGAATGCACCTTAGTTTGTTGTTTGGTAAATTATTGTCTTGTGTAATTCGTGTGTTTTCGTTCCCTAGAGCTCGAGGTCTGGGGATACTTTGAAATTAGTTTGCATTTTGGAAATGTGTGGTGATTTAAATGTGTGATGTGCCTGTGTAAGTACGGGACATTGTATGGTTAATGTGATGTCCGTTTAATAAACTTGTGTGGTTGTGTGTAGCAGAAGTCTATAACGAAATGTTGATTTAAAAGCTTGGTTTGTAAACAGTAAAAATTAATCTTTTAGAATTGGCTCTGTATTGTGTTTGGACTTTGGGTACATTTTAATTTCAGATATTACCATGTTTGGAATTTCACTTAGTGGCCAGCAATGAGCTTCCAAAAACTGTTTTAACACGAGTGAATCTTTAACTCCGGATGATAAGATTTGCTCATTGTAAAGGTTCTGTGATGTGAAAGTATGCAAATGAGAGGAAATTTGGAATTTTGGGAATGCATTTGTCTTTGAACAAAATTCTGAGAAAGCTGTGAGACAAATTAGAAAAGGCAACCTTAACAGAGGAAGTGGTTCAATACTAAATAATCCATTCTGCTTGACATGAGATAGATGGACAAAAAACAAAGTTGCTGGAAAAGCTCAGCAGGTCTGGCAGCGTCTGTGAAGGAAAAAACAGAGTTAACATTTCGGGTCCGGTGACCCTTCCTCAGTTCTGTAATCCCTCTACAAATAGCTTCAGACCAAGGAACCAGGTTCACTGGCAAGTGCCTGAAGGGAACATGTAAACTACTGGGAATAACACAAAGGTATCATATCCACCCCGCCACCCACAGAGCTCGGGGATGGTAGAGAGGATGAATAGACTGAGAATGCTCTGACCAAGGCAATAATAGGGGAAGGGGTTAAATGGACCCTTTCCCCACCAGCCACTCTGATGGCATCTTGAGGAACAGCTCACAGACTGACAGGACTGACTCCTTTTGGATTAATGACTGGTCGGGCCATGAGCCTGTTGCAAGAGCTGATTACGGGGGGGTAGGGGGATCTGGGAATGATGGACTCCAAAGGACGGATTTGGGAATTAGGTGTCAACTTTTCATGGATCTGCAACAGTTGTTAGACCAGGTGAACCAGGTATAGCAGGTTGATGTTGGGAACATGAGGGAATGGCCTCAGCACGACCGACAATAAGTGCGGAGACATGAGCTTTGGGACTGAAAACAGGAAGTGCTGGAGAAACCCAACAGGTCTGGCAGCATCTATGGACACAGAGAAATAGAGTTAATGCTTTAAGTCCAATCTGACTGTTCTTCAGAAATAAAAGGGGGTTGGTAAATGATGGCTTTTATGTTGTTGGCAGAGGGAGAGGATGAACAAGAAGGACAGATAGTGATGGTGCCTGGAGAAATAAAAATGAGGGATTGCTAATGATGGTGAAAGAGGGCTTGAGGCTTAAAATAGGTGTTAATGATGGGTGTGATTCAGAGAGAATGAGCATGTCATACTGGGAGTAAAGCTATTTAGGCCCAGGAGGAGTGTCATCAAAATGGAGGACTGAATTTGTTCAACTTAGTGCTGAAAGTTATAAAGTGCTCAGTGGAAAATGAGGTGATGTTCCTCCAGTTTACATTGAGTTTCACTGCAACACAGAAGCAGTCCTGAGCTCAGGGTTCAACATTGAGGTCAGTAATGTCAGAGCTTGCCCTCTGTCCTACACATTGATCAAAACACCCTCCCCCACCATCCATGTGTCTTATTGGCTTATATCCAAGCAGAGCAGTCCCTTTTTCTACTTTACACACCTATCATTCGTACCCATCTTACATCTCAATCTCTCCTTTACCACGATGAGCCACTGCCTCTGTCTTTTGTTCTGGGCGCCTTCACCACCTGTTCTATTCAGCTCTCTCCTTCCCCTCTGACAACAGCATGAAATGCACAACTTTCCTCTCTCTTTTGACTCTAAAGAAGTGATATTGTACTGAAACTGATCACTGTTTCTTTCCACAGATGCTGCCAGACCTGTTGCAGTTTTTGATTTGATGTGTAATTTCCAGCATTCACACAAATTTGTTTTTATTTCGGTTTCTGTTTGACCCGTGGTGGTGAGAAATGCTACAAAAATGTAATTCCCACAGAGATTTCATTTGTTGAATTTTTGTAATTCTTCGCGGAACACTCATCTCACAGAGAATCAAAGTATCAGTGAGGACATTGTCTAAAAGTAGCTCTGATTTCTCAAGAGCTGTCGGACAAGAGATCCAGCCCTGCACCTTGTTGTCTCGGACAAGAGGTGAGGCCTGATTAACTCCTTTCTCTTTCAGAGCTTGAGCGGGAGAAGCTGATGAAATATCTGAAGTCTTACTTCCTGCTTCACTTCTCCAAGGTAATGTCATTGTCAGCACGGACAGATTTATGGTTAATAGTGTTTGTAAAAGATCATTCTTATTGAGCTCTGATTGGGAACCGAAACAGCAGTGAGTGACTATCCACACACACACACACCATATACCACTCACCTACTTCCCACTGCTCACTGATAGGCACTGGCTCTGTCACCGCCTCCAGCCCCTACACCCCTCCCTATCTCTACACCCCACCACCCACCTTGATCTCTGGCTCTTCCGAACCTTGCAGCCCTAACCTTAACAATCCTCCAGCTCCTGTACTGCTCCCATTCTCTCTAAACTCCTCCAGCCTCTACAACCTTCATTCTTTCTGTAACAGCCTCCAGCCCCTACACACCCTCCCTATCTCTGTAAACTCCTCCAGTCCCTACACCCCTCCCTATCTCTGTAACCTCCTCCAGCCCCTACACCCCTCCCTATCTCTGTCACCTCCTCCAGTCCCTACACCCCCTCCCTATCTCTGTAACCTCCTCCAGCCCCTACACTCCTCCCTATCTCTGTAACCTCCTCCAACCCCTACACCCCTCCCTATCTCTGTAACCCCCTCCAGCCCCTACACCCCTCCCTATCTCCTATCCTCTCCTCTATCCATCTTCTATCCTACTCCCACTCTCTCCCTATTTATTTCAGAACCCCCTTCCCCTCCCCCTTTTCTGATGAAGGGTCTCGGCCCGAAACATCAGCCTCTCTGCTCCTATGATGCTGCTTGGCCTGCTGTGTTCATCCAGCCCTGCACCTTGTTGTCTCAGATTCTCCAGCATCTGCAGTTCCTATGATCCCTATCTCGGTAACCTCCTCCAGCCCCTACACCCCTCCCTATCTCTGTAACCGCCTCCAGCCCCTACACCCCTCCCTATCTCTGTCACCTCCTTCAGCCACTACACCCCTCCATCTCTGTAAACTTTTCCATTCCCTACACCCCTCCCTATCTCTACACCCCACCACCCACCTTGATCTCTGTAACCTTATGCAAAACTGGACACAATACTCCAGATGAGAAACCAATGGTTTATCAAGGTCACAATGACTTCCTTGAGTTAGTACTGTGTCACGTTTATAAAATGCATTATCCCAATGGCTATATTCACTGCTTTCCAAACTTCAAATTGGAGATGTATTCGATCAGGAAACGTTGTCAGGGTTATGATGGAGGGATGTAGGAATGGAATTAACTGGAGAGACATTCAAAGAGCCATCACTGAGACAATAGGCTGAATGGCCTTCTCTGGTGCTGGGAGATTCAATGCTTTAATTTTCTTGTTATAAACTTCTGCTGTAATGATGAAAAAATGCACAGAAACAAGGATGTGTTTCTCATCAGCTTTTCAGGGTGAGTTTTGCTTTAAGTTTTAAACACAAAGGCTGTGAAACCACCTGTGAAAGTTATGGGCTCAAACCAGAGGCTCCTCTGACACATGCAGAGCTCAGGCTAGAGATACTTTGCTCGAGTGTTTCATAGTGTCTGCACGAGTAGGGTCAGCATTGAGCTTGGGGACCAGTCGGTCTCCAATGCTGCGTTGGAATCAACAGTACAGATGTTGGATATATATATATATATAGGCAAGAACAATGAGCTCAGATGACCAAAGGGAAGATCATGCTGGACAAACTTTAGTTAGTTAGTTGAAACAGTGTGAGGAAGAGCAATTGTTGTGCAGTGGAGGAGTTATAATTGGATAATCAATCATTGCACATTGACTTCTGAAAGGAATTAGTGTGAACAACCTTCTTGAGGAGCTGCAGGCTGTGTGATGTTGAAGGTGTTCCTCCCAAACAGAATCCTGGGACAGAGGGCCAGCGATAACGCTTCACATAAATGTCAGAGGGAGGTTGGGTGTCTCAGTGGAGGTAATGGTCATTCTGGCAGGAGAGGTCATAGGGAGGGAGCTCCTATCGCTGTAACCCTGGTGAGTCCCAGTGTTAAATCCTGATTTCTCTCTCCCCAGTGGCACTGTCACAAGAGTGGAAAGTCAACACTCCGCATAAGGTGACAGCACAGAAAGGTTCCTGCACACAGATTCCATGCTATTACACTTATCCTTCACGTATGGCAAAACACCAACGAGTCGGAATCTAGTTTAATAATGAGGACAATGTTATATCGTCGATAGCCTTTCACTCCCGGCATCACAGTCGAGAGTCAGCTCAGTTCCGCCATCAGATCCGTTTGTCTGGAGACCTGGAAGATGGAGACTGTTCCCTGATTATAGAGAACATCAGACAGGAAGATGCAGGATCTTATTTTTTCAGAGTACAATTTGAGAGAAATATTAATCACAGCTACTTTCCAGCAACCAAGCTTCATGTTTCTGGTAATTATGGCTATGTTGTAATTACTTAACAATTCACATCCTGCACTCAATAGGAAATAACACAAACTGCGACAAATGATATTAACACAAAACACACCTTATTAAACAGTGTCTGATTATCAGTCACCTGATAGTTTTCTGTTCAGTTATAAAACAATCTCCAATACTGACTTTAGTATCAATGATTTAATGTATTGACTGTGCCCATCAATGTTATCAGGTGATCCACTCCCATCTATCTCGACAATCCCGTTTAAAGGCCTTTCTGAGATAGAGAAAAAAGAGAAACTCACATTTCAAAAGTACCTTTCAGTGCGTCATGACAATTGAAATCACAGCCAAGGAAGTGATTCCTCAAGCATAGTTTCTGTTGTGGACATTTTTCAACCAACCCATACAGATGTGTTCAAACACACCGCTGCAGCAGCTGGGATTTGAACAGGGTCTTCTGGCTGAAAGGTAGCAAACACCAACACCAACACCAACACCATGCCACAAGAGCCCACAGGATTCTTGTTATAAAGTTACTGTAAAACAGCCAATCTGTGGATAGGAAGCTCCCATTAGCCACAGTGTGATCAATAATCTGATCATCTTTTTTAGGAGCTAGTTCAGATTGTGTTCCAAAGAGTTTTTGTCCTGCTGCAGGCAGAATTTAATTTGAATTTGGCACATTTCTGAGGAAATGAGCCAGTTCTCCCTGAGCTGTGAGCTGCTCCCCCCAACCCTAACCCAGTATTGTCCAATCACAGGTGCCAGAGTGAAAGTGTGCTAAACTCAGTGACAGACACTTCTCCATGTCAGATAAGAGGAAAGTCTTTACTGATCATTGTACTCAGTTCTAATATCATCCGAGTAAAAGTGCTTTCTCTCGTGGGACCGTGATTTCTATTTGAGGTCCCATTATATTTACCTAAAACGATCCATTCTCTGTGTGTTAGATTTCACAGATAAACCCATGATATTCCCTGTGGAAATTATCGCAGGAAAGCGCGTGGACCTAAGTTGCACCTTCAACACAACGTGCAATGGAACAGCTCCTGCCTTAACCTGGGACACGCCCAGTGCCGTACCTGGATCAGCCTCAAACACTGTAACTCAGCATGGTGTCACTCTGACCTATACTTCTGTTCTGAGCCTCACCCCATCACCAAGACACCAGGGACAAACTCTCACCTGCAGAGTGAGTTATCCAACTGTTTCTTCAGAGCAGACCCTCGTACTGACAGTGCAATGTAAGTATGAACATCCATCATTCTACAGTCATGGCAATGAGCTAAATAGGCATAGCAAGATCCCACAAGCAGCGCTATGAATATCAGGTCCTCTGGTTTCTGAAGAATGCAAACTGGCCTTGGAGAACTGTAATTAGTGCTGAAAAGAGACATAGATTTGAAGTTTTGTCTCTTGTACTCGTCAGAACTGAAACACAAGAAAATACATTATCAAAGAAAGAGGAAGTTACAAAGCAAGTAAAAGGGCTGCTGATTGGAGGATGGTGGTTTCCATGGATTGTGTTCTGGCAGCAGGAACTATTAAATATCTCATTTAACTGATGACATTGAGAATGGAAAAAATGACTCTGAGAGCTCAGCGCATTCCTGTGGGGATGCAGCAAAGCTTGGCTGTTTCCACAGATCTTTGTCATTGAAAATGTTGTTCTCATTTCAGTTGATCAAGTCAGGGCAAGAGCATGTCAGCAAACAAATGCACTCAATCCAAGCCCAACACAAATTGACTTCCTGTGTAATTCTTAGCTCAGTCAGGATTATTTCTTCATTGTTGTCCAACAGCAGGGCCTTACTTAATGGGCTATACACTAAGGCCATGATATTGTGCCAGACAGTTATCGTTCCAGTGTAGATGGGAGCTGTGCTTGGAATCTATGTCTCTTTTCAGCACTAGTTACAGTTCCTCAAGGCCAGTTTGTATTCTTCAGAAACCAGAGGACCTGATATTCATAGCTCTGCTTGTGGGATCTTGCTATGCCTATTTAGCTCATTGCCACGACTGTAGAATGATGGATGTCCATACTTACGTACCTGGGGACAGAACTCCAATGAAATTGTCTGGGAAATCATTCCACTCAGCATTGCCCTCTCACATAACTCTCAAATGTGCCTGTTTCCACTGGAGAATTCGAAGGTTCTGATAAAATTAATGAAAACGGTTGTTGAGAGAATGCTGGACTATCTAATGGTCTAACTCCTGAGGAACAACTCCTTTGACTCTATACTTACAAACCTCCACATCACCCCTTGCCAACATCAAATATACACACCGCCAGAACAGTTATATCCCCTGGTCCCAGGCCCTGACCCGACACATGCTCTCTTTCCCCCTGAGGCCCGAAAACCCAGCCCCACTCCTGATCCGACACCTCCCTTTCACCTGCTCACTCCTTGCTCTGCTCCCCACATTCCCTCACTCAGGATTCGACACCAAACTTCACCCACCTCAGACCCACTGCTCTCTTCCTCACCTCTGGATCTGATCTTCACAGGATCTGACACTCACTGCCCAACAATCCCCCTCTCCTCACCTCAGCCAAATACTGGCACCCACCCTAACCTACCACAAACTCTGCATCAACGGTAGAGAAATTCGCACTCTGATATCCTATGAAAATGGCACTGTACCCACCTGGCACTCTCCCATGCTGGAACCGTACCCCCTATCCAGTAGGCAGACTGTGTCCCATTCATCCTAACCCCCCAGCATTCTAACCACACACTTACCCTACGGACTTACCTTTCAAAGTAGCCTTTAAAAGTGGCAGATGTTTGCTGGCACAAGGGGACGTGGTTTGCTCCCCCTCAACGTTCTGCACTGTGAGACAACTGTCAGAATGGCAACACAGGTCTCACTCTAAAGCAGTCCTGGTCAGAATCTCATGCTGGAAATACTTCATCTTTCTGAAAAAAACAAAGGAGGGCAATGGCATTCTGCATGAGATTGCAACTCTTCAGAACATCTGGCACTGTGTGCTAGGTTTTACTGTGAGAACTCAGCAGTGAATCATGACAGGGGATCTTTTAGATTACTTGAGAAAGCAGCTGGAAATGCGACCTAATTGGTTATTCAAGACGTCAGTTCCAACTGCACAGCTCTCCCTCAATAGTGATCCTCCAAATAGTGCGGGAGTCCCTCAGCATTGACCCCTCCGACAGTGCAGCGCTCCCTCAGCACTGACCCTCCGACAGTGCGGCGCTCCCTCAGTACTGCAGTGAGAATCTGCTCTGTCAAGAGCTTCTCTGCTTCCACGCTTTCATGGAGATTCCTCACATTACATCCAGGGAGAGTCGAGGTGAAGGAGATGGCCTCTTGGTATTATTGCTGGACTCTTAAACTCTGGGATCCAGGTAATGTTCTGGGGATTCAGGATCGAATTCAGTCACTGCAGAATTTTGAATTCAATAAATATCTGGAATTAAGAGTGTAAAAATGACCACGAATCCATTGCCGATTGTCAGAAAAATCCCATCTGGTTCATGAACGTCCTTTAGGGAAGGAAGCTGTCATCCTGACCTGGTCTGGACTCCAGACCAACAACTCTGGGCAATTAGAGTTGGGCAATAAATAGGGGAGATCTGTAAGCACACTTTAGCCCAGGGTGCTGGAGAGTGACCATGGCCCCTTGTCATGTGATGCCATTCTGGGCCTTGGTTTGCATATTAAGTTCTCAAAGTAACACTGCTCTTAAAGTGATATTATGCCCTTTCCTCTTTCTCTTCACATCTTACACTAGTCTTTGCTCTATTTCTCTCTATCACACACTCTCCAGCTTAGAGTGATCTCTCTCTCTGTCTCTCTTTCATGCCCATTACTTTTTTTCTCTCGCCCACATTCTCTTAGCTCTGTCTTTTCACACCTTCTGTTTCCCCTTTCTATCTCCCTGTGGTTTTTCCCTCTCTCTCTTGCCCTGCCTGCTGCTTGAACATTGTACAGATCAGATAAGCTTCTAAATCCAATCATTGAATTGTGCTGTATTTAGTCACGCTTGCCCTCACTGCTTTAGGACAACAGAGGGGTTGGGAAACCAGCTGAGAGGCCCCACTCATGATCAGTCTTAAGTCACCCGTTCAGGAATACACTGATTGGGCAGCGGATGGGCACAAAATTGGAATTAACAGTGATGCCTTCCCAAGTCGGTTAGCCATCCATCAACTACTGTGGCCATTCAAGGAGAAAAACCCCTTCATGGGTGTCCAGCCTGGCACAAGTCCATCCTTTCAGGGTAAATGTACCAACATGAACGAGGAGCAAGAGTAGGCCACTCGGCCCTTTGAGCATGTTCCATCATTCAATAATGGTGTGATGTTTTCAATAGCTCACTCAGATCAGTTCAACTTTTATTTGAGTTTCACTCAGTCAGGGAGATAGTTGGGGTGCAGGAGTGCAGACTGTGGCTGATGGAATGGGGGTTTGGGCGGGGGGGGGGGGGGGAGAGAGAGAGAAAGAGAAGCAGGCAGAATGTGTAGTTAAGCTGTGCTGCTGGGGAAGTTACTGAAGGGCCCTGTTTCTCTCTGCGTGAAGCTTGTGATTAATTTCCAGAAGCTGTTTTATAGTCGAATGAAGCCAGGAACCAGGAGAAGTCCTGGAAGCCAGTAGATGAGGCTGGGAGACACCATTAGGCTCAGGCTTTGATGTTGTAGGGTGTTAGGGGTTCAGAAGAGGGCTATGCTTCCTTAATAATTCAGAAAGTAATAAACTGTAACCCCGTGTACAGCTTGAATGAGTTTTCATGATGCACAAGGCCACAAACGTCAGGGAGTGTTGCTGAGAAATCCGAGGGATCTGTCTTCACCTCATTTAGTGTTTGATGACTTCTGTGGGGTGATTGATCACAGTATCTCTGTTATCCAATATATACCTCATGTTAATTTTAGAAATTAACATATAAATTGTATATATCATGTAGACTGTATTACTGTTCGAACTTCAGATAGTGACATTCCTTTTCAATTGTTAAAACCATGGCATTTTGTGACTTTATTTTCTTTGTAAGTACCTGGGATACAAACTCTGTCTCTTTTAAAGAAAATCTCCTGGTTCCTCCCCATATGGTAACCTGGTGATCTGGTCTGGGATCATAACATTTTCCTCAATATTCCATCGATCAAATCCAATTGTTTCCTGCCAAGGCTTGGGGAATGTTGTGAGGATGTGAAAGGCTCTTTTTTTCTAGATGGATTGATAACGTCCTCGTTGATGGGAGGAGGAACCTACAGTGTGACAATTTATATCAGCAGCATCCATCAGAAATGTAATCCAGCAACTTCCACTGAGAGAAGGTTACAGGGGATCCATCCACCAGTTTCTGAGAGAGAGAGATGGAGACTTGCTGTGCACTCTGTTTGCTCACAACATTCTCTTCCTGTGTTTGTAGACTCACCACGGAATCTCTCAATTACTTCTCTTGCTGTGATTAAAGTTTCCTCAATCAGTATAACGGAGGGAGTGTCTGTAGTGATAATCTGCTCTGTCGAGAACTTGAGATAACAAGGTGTAGAGCTGGATGAACACAGCAGGGCAAGCAGCATCAGAGGAGCAGGAAAGCTGATGTTTCAGGCCTAGACCCTTCTT